CGCAGCGGCGGGGAAAGCCGGGCGGGACCTCTGCATGGCGGCGCTGGAGCTCGCCCTCCCGCTGGCGCGCGCCGCGGTCGCGCGCCGCGACCCGGAGCCGCTGGCGGGGCTGGCCGGCCCGCTGGGCACGCTGCTGGGCCCTGGCCCGGGCGAGGGCGGCCGCGCCCCGCGTCCCCGGGCCTGGCTCGAAGCGGCCACACTGCACGCCTGCGGGCGGCACGAGCAGGCCGCCGCCTCCTACGCTGCCGTCCTGGGGTCCGGCGGGGCCGGGCTGCCCCAGGCCCTGCGCCTGGCGCTCGAGGAGCTGCACGCGGAGGCCTGCGCGGAGCTGGGCGACGAGGCCGGGCTGGCCACTGCGCTGGAGGTGGGGTGGTCGGGGTGGAAAGGGGGGCGCTCACGGCTGGGCTGGGCCCGGCCTCGTGCGGCGCGTGTCCACGGCTGTTTTGGTCGGTGGCCCCAGGCCGACTCTGCATGTCACAGCATGGGGTGAGGGTGGGCCTGGCTCGCCTCCGCCCAGCTCCCCGATCTTGCTCCCGACTCGCGCCACACACCCCCCTGCATCCTCCCTGGCCAAACCTGGCAGGCCTGGCGGGAGCGCGCGCCGCCGGCCCAGCCTGCGCCGGCGGCCGTCGAGGCCTGCCGCTCCCTCGCCCGCTGGACGGCGGCCGCCTTCCTGCAGGAGGACCGGCGGAAAGACGGCGCGCCGTGCGCCGTCGCGGCCGGCGCCGACGCGCGAGCCCTCGCGCTCTCGGGCCCCACCTGGCACGAGCCGGGTGAGGAGCGCCTGCGGGCCGTGGCCCGCAGGCTGCGCGCCGACCCCCGCGCCGCGCCGCCCCGGGCCTGCTCGGCGCGCTGGGCGCCACGGCCCTGGGCAGCGAGGAGGGCAGGCTCATCCTGGTTGGGGCCTTCTCCCCCGACTCCGACCTGGCGGACGAGACTTCTGAGTACAAAGGGTCACGCCTGCGCTTCGACCCCTGGGTGACGCTCCCCGTTGGCGCCGTCGCCCCACCCCACACGCCCGCCCTCGGCGCAGCGCCCGCGCTGCAGCTGCTGGCGGCCGTGCGCGCGGGGGGCGGGGCGCGGAACCCCGCGGGGGAGCTTGCTGTCCTGCACCTGACGCTGGCCGCCGCCGGCGCGGCGGCGGGCGGCGGCAATCACCGCTGCGCCGCGCGGCTGCTGCAGACGCTGGAGGCCGACCTGGAGACGGGCGTCGAGCTGTGCGCCGGCGCGGTGCTGGCGGCCGCCGGCGGCCCCGCCGCGGCCGCGCGCCTGGACACCACGGTGGACGCCTTTGATTCCTGGGGCATGCTGCACGTCGCCGCCAGCATCCTGTGCGAAGCGCCGGGCCCGGCCCGGGCGCCCCTCCTCGAGGCGCTGCTGCGGCGGGGCGGGGGGGCCCGGGGCGGCGCCCCAGGAGCGTGCTGGAACGGGGGGGCGCACGGGGTCGGCGACGCGCACGACCCGGGCGCGCCGTCGCGAGACGACAGCGTCCGCGCCGCGCCGA